GCTACCAACACGTCATTTAAATCCATATATGGGTACTTTTGCTCAACTTGTGGACGGGGCCTAAAAGAATCAAGGAAAGATGCAAGTTGAAGTAAAATTGGAAGAATCTATTTGAAAGCGCTTTCTCTGTTTTCAAATTCAAAAGGCGGGCTGTGTGTTTTATTCCAGGAATCATTCGTCCTACGAGCTCAAAACTGAGTATACAAGATAATCGGCCGATAAGTTAGGCCCCGTCCACACGTATCCGGAAATTTTTGTTTCCGCAAAAAAAAATTTGCGGATACGATCGAAAATGTTCGCGTCCACACGCAGCGTATTCGAATCGTTTTCACGGTCCACACGTATCCGGAAATTTCATGATCCGCTGATGCCTAGTCCATTTGACGGATAGTTTTTCTTATTGAGCATGCGCAAAATCGTGTTTACGTCATCGTAGTGAAAATTTACGGATACGACCGTCCACACGTATCCGTATTCGGAGCGTATTCGAAAATTTCCTCTCTGGAGACCGTTTTCGAAAATTTCCTGATACGGATACAAAAATTTCCGGACACATGTGGACGCAACCCGTATCCGCAAAAAAAAAATCTGCGGATACAAAAATTTCCGGATACGTGTGGACGGGGCCTTAATCAACATAAAAGTGTTGACTTATGCGTGTTGATCTACATTACTACTTATCTTGACCTTCAAGGGTCACGGCTCCTACATTTGTTTTCAAATGCTATTTATTTTGTCTTCATCCAAGTCTGTAAATTAATAATTATTTATTGGAGCAAATTCTCGTTAGACCTTCGCACATTTCAACATACAATCTAAGCATTGCTTCGGCTGTTTGTAATCTTGTATTGTGTGGCGATCAATCTACTTTTTATTCAGAACGGCTTATTTAAATGACAAAACTGGCCGAACTTCCTTCAAAACTCCATTGGAATTCAGACTCTCTCTTGAGTTCTAATTAAAATTCGATGCATCCGACTCGATCTATGAGTCTTCAGAAAGATCGAAATGTTGACGTTGTAGATAAGCGTTTTTGTACTTTTAATGCATCAGAAAAATATCAAATCAAGCGAAATTTTTGGAATCCTTTGAGAATGTCAACTAGCATAAGGAGGGCACATTAAGACCATTCTTCTAAAGTATCAACGAGTTCGCAAAAGGGCGTTCGATTAGTAAATTATATTATTGTTCTCATGTTTGGGCAAATTCATCATTGCACAACCTTCAAAAATTGCAGGCCGTCCAAAACTTTGCATGTCGAATTGTATGCGGGGATAGGAAATATGATCATATCACGCCTTTCCTAAAACAATTGAAATGGCTTCCAGTCGTTCGCCAATATTATATTATCGTAGTGCTACCTTGGCGTTTAAATGTATGACCGGCAGTGCCCCAGAGTATCTTTCGTCGCAGTTTGTTAAACGCGCAGAAATAAGCAATCGCACTACTAGAAATTCGCAAAAACTGAATATTCCTCTCTTCAAGACGGCCAGTGGCCAAAGAACAGTCTATTATAGAACAGTAAATCTCTGGAATTCTATCGAATCGTCCCTTAAACTGTGCAGAAATGTTAATATTTTCAAACAGTCGCTTAGATCTAAGTTATTACGGGAGTTCTTAGATAATAAGCTCTCCAGTTTATTAGTTTATTTATTTATATCTTCACACTTTCTTCATTATTTAAAGATAACTATTATTTTACTATAAGATATTGTAATATATGTTTTTTCTTAATGATAATAATTATATTTTTATAAATTAGTAATTAGATATTAAGCTGACTTTTTAAATGTAATATATTGTCTTTGAAAATCCCTTATGGGGAAAGATCATAAAATATATGTATGTAATGCGGAAGTCAAAAAGTAGCACAGAGTACGTCGTAGTAATGTYCTTTCATAGATGCGGAAGTCAAATAGTAGCCCAGAGAACATACTACGACGTTCTCTGCGCTACTTTTTGATTTCCACATCTATGAAAGGACAGCTAAAAGAAAGAATCGTTTGAGACAATGTTAGGGAATAAATTATTTAAAATTATACAATACCTGATCAATATGGTCTTATTTTCAAAGCACAGCCTCATCAGAATCACAAACACCTTGTTTCTTTTTCCTGCCCATCCCTTTGAGATGTAGACTCTTCCACAGTCTCTCGCTCGTCCGTCTCCACGCTTAGAGACTGTAACGGTACAATGACCGAAAGGACTTATGGGTCCCGAAAACTTGGACCCAGCGTGCTTTGGGAACCAAAATACTCGTCCACAGTCTCTCTCGTTTCAATATTTTCAAGATGGCGGCGAAAACGAGAGACACTGTGGACGAGTATTTTGGTTCCCAAAGCACGCTGGGAATATTCTTGTCAGTATTGAATTGGATAGAAGCAAAGGATATCTTTGTGGTTGGGCTCAATGACAATCGAATCTGATCATTATTTAAGATGTTTTTGTGCAGTGGGAGGGGAGGGTGGGGTGGTTGACTATTCATTGCACTCACTACCCCTGGATCCATCCCTGGCAAATCATTGTGATCTCAATATCACTGAGCCTAAAACAGCAAGCAAACACTAACCATTGTTTCTAATCAGTATATATATATATGTGTGTTTTTTTTATTGAAAAAATGGCTCCAAAGACCAAAAATGATCTCTTAAAAGCAACCTTGTATAAGCCAGTACAGTGGAGTCCTGTTATCTAAAACCTCATATTGGAACTGGAAAAAAGTACAAAATAATGGGGCTTCAAGATATACAAGGAAATATTGTTAGTACTTTTACACTGATGCAAGTCCAGTGATCACTGCCTCTGGGATTGCAGATAATGCAACACTACTGTATATACTTTTCCTACAATCAAAGTCCTTAGGATGAATTGTGGGGAAATCTTTTTCAATTTTCACTCTCTGTTCCTCTTTGTCTTCCTATGTACACCCATAAAACAAAGGTACATTATTTTGTACTTTGATGTTGTCATGTCATAGCAGATTCTTGACCAAATTCTTTTATTGTTCTTGAGACAAGAATAAGATGCTCTAAAAATGAGTTTGCTGATACTCGCAGAGTTCTGGCTTCTGTTGACGTCAGTACTCTGTAAGGGAGTAAAAGTAAAAAGAATCAAGCAAAAGAGTAAACAAGGGTGCTGAAGACGGGGGGGGCCCCCCCCCCCCCTCAGGTTTTTCAAAAAGTTTCTGGACTAATAGACCTGCTGAGCCGCCCCTGGTAAATACACCAGATATTGTATGAAATTATAACATATTTGATTTATTTACTATCACATTTGTTACAACAATAATAAAATTGCTAAGTTTCGAAAAGATTTCTCTGTCGCAGGCTACATCCACAAATGAATTTCAAAACCTTTACAGTAAAGCACATTTTCGTTTTTAATGCTTATTAAAGTTCATCAAATTAAGCATTTTATTTAATCCCCCCCCCCCTACATTGCTATGATATTACTCAGTTTTCCTAAAGTCAGATGCTACTGTTAAACTTACACGTGCATAATGTTTCCATTTACTGTTATAGTCTTTTGAACGCCACCACGTTTGGGTTCAGCATCAACCGTGAGAGAATTACAAGCTATTTGAGCTTCAGATGGCTGGTTAAACGGAATAGAYATTTCCCTGTGGTTATAATTAAGGTATAAACAATATCTGATATTAAAGCAAAAAGCATCATATAATGATAAATTTAAGAAACGTAGTTTTGAAGGATACAACTTCAATTTCTCTTCATCCGCCATTTTGAAATTWCACCGACTGGAAAAGACTGGGGCGAGAAAAGGTTTTGTGTAGGGAAGGGGAGGGGGTGAAGACGGTTTGTTCTTTTATTGATTTTTCATTGATTTTTCTTTTATGAGTTCTTCATGTRACCAGT